GTTGTTCCGTTGAATCTGCAGGGGTTTCAACTAATATACGTTTTTTAACATCAATCGCGAGATTGAAATAAGCAAGTAAATCTACACCAATAATAGGACGCGACACTTCTGCTATCACGAAATTCCATGATAAAGTTTTGCTAAGTCCAAAATCTAACTTTAAAGATAACATACCGTATGTAGCTATCGGTGTTCCATTTGCTGCTGAAAGCCCAAATGAACATTTCTTACGGGGACATCTCACCAAACTGCGCGGGTACACACATACATCGGATCCAGTGTCTATCAGAAAACTTACATTTGTCTCCTTATCTGTGATGAAAATGCGGCGTGAGTTATTTGGGCGTTTGTCACTAGTCGCCATTAGTGACCGCCCGTATCGTTTTCCGACTTAAAATTACATGGCGATATACACCTCCTCGCATGACTTCCGTAGCGTCTATGAAACCGACATAAGTTATCTTGTCGTCTTCTAAACGACACTTCCTTCTTATGATACATTTGAAGCTTATCCAGACGCTTTGAAACAGCTTCGATATCTTGACGCATTTGACGCAGATCAGCATTCTTTGTTTCAATCTCAGAGGTTTGTGCATCTGTAATCACAGCTACACGTTGCTGTGAATGGTTAATAAATAAGCGGTCAGCTAGTTCACCTACCTCTTGTATTGACTGTGTTCCAGAAGCAACCTCCAAAAATGGTTGAATTTCCACTGGAAGTCTGGATAACCATATTGCTTTAACTGCGTTATCGGTCATCGAAGTCCCGACTAAAGTCCTCAAATAACGTAGGTATTGAGAAGGCGTCCTATCACCCAAATCTACATCAGACATAAACAACTGCAACTTTGACTTCTCCGAAGTGCCTAACCTTGAAATTAACGTAGCCTTTAATGTCGAATAAGGCTTCTCTTCAGGCTCATTGATTATCAAATCTCGCACTTCGGTTGAATGTCTAATATCCAACCTGGTAACCAATAATCCATATTTCTCCTTCTCATCGTGGATATTGGAAGATGCGAATGCCTTCTCTACCAAAGCAACCGACCTGCCAATCTCCCACACTATCATCAGTGGTTACTTCGGTGCTTACATATGGTATCACCATGTGGGCTGATGCTCTCAAAACTCACAAACCGAGGAGAATGGCAGGACCTATATATCGTCTATGTGCTTTAAAAACTGCTTGCGTATTTCGCACAATTATGGAGGAAGTAGTGTGCGTCATTTCAGGAACTCTGCCTTTCTAAATCTTAGCAGAGAAAATACAATCGAAAACATCAACAACTGAGTCCTGAACAGTTGAAAATAGCATAACGGCAGAACAGCATTGACCGATGACAGCAACTGTGGGATGTCGCAGTGAAGGGCAGATGGACGCATCGTCTCATTCCAAATGCTGTTTTCGAGCCTACCTACACCGCTTCAAGCACGATAGCTCGTCGGATTTCCCATATTGTTTGGTCGAAATCGAAGATGCTGAGCATGTGTTCTTCGTATGCCCGCGATTTGGTGCTTTTATCTATGCCTTTAACCCTTCGCCGTTTCGAAATAACACAATATTTGTTAGCATCTAGTTTTATATCAAATATAAATTCAATTATTGTAGTACCAAGAACAAAAAAATATACGAGTTTAATTTCATTAAATAATTTTTCAATTTGCAATCAAATACATTAACTGTTTTTATTCAAGGGTAGTTTTTAATTTATTAATTTTCTTTCAATTTCAAAATAATTTTTTCTAAAAAAAATTTATCAAGGGGTTGTTTTTGAGGGTTTAAAAAGGGTTAAAAATTTGATAATCAAAATAGAAAATATAAAATATCATTTACTTTAAACGTAATTCTTATTATATCGGTTTTTATGAGGTTGAAAATTATTTTATTGCAAGGTAAATGTATTAAAAATCACTTTACAATTATATTCTTCAATATTGAAAATGTTTTCTAGCGATAAAAAGGCTCAATGTCCATTTATTCATTAAGAGGTCGCAACCCCCCGGGGGTGGCGGCTGAGTCCAAATTGTTTTCACTTTTGAACTTAAGGGTAAGATGAACCTAATTCCAAAATTTCATGCAAATCGGAGCACAGTAAAAAAATCAGAGTTTACACCATTTTTCCTTTCCATTTACTGCATTGAATGTGATCCACATAATTGATTTGAACAATATTTGCAGTACTTGAAGCAAAAACAATAGGCTTTGGAAAACGCTAATAAGAAAGTAATAAAACAATACGCACTATCCGAAAACATTAATTGAAAAATTATTTTATCCTTTTTAGCTAATAATAAGTAATTATTTAGCATCAATTAATCTACATTATGTGGTCTAAGCCAATGTGAGTAGAATCACGTAAAAAAATTTCGATATCTTTTATGGTTACACCAAAAAAGTGAGTTTGAAAGAAGGGGCCACTTTGGCATATTTTCAACGATATCTCGGCCATAAAATGAGGTTCAAAGTTGAAAATTGGTATATCGGTTTTTATCAAATAGACCTATAAAATGGCGTATAAATTATTTAAATACCAGAGTGGGGCCAATTCTGTACGGTAATAAAATCAATGTTTTAGTCATGCATTAATAAAAAATTATTTATTTATATATCTACAGATATGACTAAAAATTTTGCATAATTATTGGCATTAAAATAAATTGAGATACTGAAAACAAATTCGTTCTAAAAATTGTATTTCAATATTTGTTAAAGGAATAATTAAAGAGTTAACTGTGTAATTGAGAATAATCATTTTATTTAACCACTTAATGCTAGGGTTTTTTGTGAAGGGAGGTCAAAAAATAAGCAGGTTTTTTTGTTTTTCAATTGACATATTAATATTGTACAAATAATATAAAGTCAAAACAACATAAAAATTGAAAAAAAAACATTTAAAAAAAATTAAAGATTCAAAAAAAATTTTTTTTAACTATCCACGGCAAACAAAAACACGTCAGATCGCAAAAATTGACAAATCGTACTTTTGAACAATTATATAATAATTGTCTACTTAGAAGTACAAACTTACAAGCTATATGAAATAATAACATTTAATATTTCTATAGGCTATAAAATGTGAGCATTGTTATGCTCACATTCCTAGATATATATGAAATACAAAAAGGATAAAAATTATCGCTATAGATAAAAATTTGAAGTGAATATGTTAATAAAGAGGCGAGTTATACTCGGGATAGCAAAAATCTTAACAATTCATACGCAAAACAGTCTCGTTCTAAGTGAAAACCGAATATTTGTATGTGGCGAGAGGCTCTCGGGCGAGAGCAAATCGGACCACATACGTCGCGCGAGAGGGTCTCGTTCGAGTCGCTTAAGTGTTAAAGCAGTTCTACATATTATACCATCACTCATAGTTTGTTGTGAATAGTAATTCAAAAAATAATAGTTATTATTTTTAACTAAACGGTAAATTTTAGTATAGGATATTAAAAAAATTTAGACGTTGGTACAGGACAAAGTCGGTCGGATCATCTAGAATATATATCTATATATATATATATATATATATATATATATATATTTTGTAGAGTTTCGAACAAGAATCCAAAAATAATACAAAATAAAAAACAAGAAAAGTTTTTAAAAAAACAATTTCTTTATTTAATTATTTGTTTATTGTCGACGTTTCGGAACTAGGTACGTTCCATCTTCAGGACATCTGTCAAGAAATATGATCTTGATGAGATTTTTGCAAACAATATGTTTAGGAAAAGAAAATAGATTTTTCTTAAATAATGAATTAAATTGTAAAAAATATAATAATGTACAGAAATATGATAATATGTTCAAAATAAAAATGATAAAAATAAATGAGTGGATTATCAAAACAGGATATTAAACATAATAGAAAATTTTTTTGAAAGTTATGGAAATTTTTTAAGAAAAGGTTAATGACAAAGTTGAATTAATTACCTGTATGTTTGAATATTTGTTAGCACTTTTTCACTAAACAAGCTTTTTTAACAAAAATGATTTTGTGAGTTAATTTTCCGCCGAATAATTAGATTTTGTAAATCAAAATTACTAAAAAATTTGTCTTTTTTAAAATTATTATTTGAAAACACAAATAATATTGTTCTCTGGATGTTGTTCGATTGGCTTTCGAAAATTAACTAAATGAAACTGGTGTGCCCTTTGTAACACGTGTAAACACTTGAACGAGAGATGTGAGATTGTATGTGTGTGTTTTTATATGTCAGGGTGTGAATACTTAAATCTACATCATTTTTATATGTCAGGGTGTGAATACTTGAATCTACAAAATATACACAAATCCAAGACTCTACCATTCAATATATATATATATATATATATATATATATGTGTGTGTGTGTGTGTTTTTATTTATACTATGTAATACAGGCGAAATTATTACATATTTCTTAAATTAATCTTACGTTAAAATGACGTAAATATGTAGCTTTGTTTACGTAAAAATCACAATCATTAACCTTGATTATTATCAAGACTAAAATATTGAAACAGCATGCAAAATAAATCCTTATTGCTTTTTTTTCAAACGCAGAAGCATATTCGTGTCTCGTAAATTTTATATATCTATCTTCTTTTACCTAACCTTTTCTACCTAGTTGCAATAAAATGAATTTATCCTAGGTACTAAGAAAGTTGTAAGAAAATCATTCTGTACGTAAATCTTAATTCTGGCAAATAAATACTATTAATAATCAAACTTACACATTTTTTCAATCACTTATTTAAACGGTCTGATATAGGGTATTTTAATAACAAAGTATATCTAGTCGTTCGAAACTAATTGGTGACCGTTTGCAGTGAAATTGATTGACTTTTGATAAGCATTGCGCCAGTTGACTGTATAGTTAATACTTAGCAAAAGAATTCAGGTATCCAGTTTTTAATCATTTTTTTTTCATTTCTATTGCTATGATAAAAAAACATGATTTGAGCTCGATTCTAAATTTGGTAATTTTGGCTAATCCCCAATAATATATCATCTTACCCAGCATTTCACAGCAATTTTCATGCCCAAATTTGCGAGCCAAGTCTAATGGTGTTTCATTATCACGTGTTCGTGGTCTCAATGGCGCTCTGCACAATAGTAAAACACTTATAATTTCTGAATGACCAAGAATGGCTGCCTCGTGAAGTGGAACATGATTAGTATTACTATCTCTAGTCTGAGGACTCACACCACCAAACTCTATTAGAAGTCTCACTGTATTAGCTAAATGATTTTTTTTGCACGCATACTATAAAGATCATATCAAGTGTTACATTTATGCCAAATACATTTACAACAAAGGAAAACAACTGCTTACATGTAAAGGAGTAAGTCCTGCTGTATCTCTGCAGTTCACATTGGCACCACTTTCAATAAGTTTTTTTAATATATCATCCATACCCAATCGAGCTGCAAGATGCGCTGCTGTTTGCCCATCTTCATTTTTAGCCTCAAGACTTCTATATCCACACTTTAAAAGTTCGGATACAACCGTGTAATTACCTTCCTTAGTAGCTCTGATCACAAAAAGTATAAAAAAATAGGTAGATAGCTTTAAAGTATATCATAAATATAATTGTAATTGCAAATGCCATTTTTGCCATTGGTAAGTTGAAAAAATAATTGATATAAGAATAGATAAATAAATATGTATTATAAAAGAAACAATTCAAGTAGAAAATTATATATATACTAGATGACCCAACAGACGTTGTCCTGTACCCACATCTACGTTTTTTCAATATCATATACTAATATTTACCATTCAGTTGAAAATAATAATTATTGTTTTTCGGTATAAATCGGTGTTCTATAAATTGTTCTAGGAACAATATTAGGCTAGATATGAAAATGTGGTTTTATAGTACTCAAAATAAGCTTTAAAATGAGTTCTTCTACCTGTAAAATGAGTGAGCGATCATGCAGATAAAAGACGCATACAATATTTTTTTCGTTTAAAGCAAATAGTTTTTGAGTGCTATTTCCACCAAAATTAAAAATAATCGTATTCCCTCGATAAAGCAAATAAATAAAGCGATGTTTGCTAATATCTTCAGAAACAAACATTTTAACAAAAATAATGAAATGACCAAAATTGTATAAATTAATATCTTAATAAATCACTGTTTCATAGTGTTCTAGGAACAATATTAAGCTAGAAATGAAAATGGAGTTTTATAGTCCTCAAAATAAGCTTTAAAATGAGTATTTCTGCATGTAAAATGAGTGAGCTATCATGCAAATAAAAGACGAATACAATATTTTTTTCATTTGAATCAAATAGTTTATGAATGCCATTTCCACCAATATTAAAAATAATCGTATTCCATCTAGAATTAACTCGGCTTAAGAGATCTTGATGGATTCTAGAAAATACCATAACTTTAGTACAAACGATTTTCAAAAAACTCATGAATTCATGAAAAAAATCCATTAAAAAACAACCAATTTCTCATTATTATATTTCTGAAATTCAAGGGTTTTTTCTGACTAATTATGGCTTTTTATTATTAATCCGCTACACAAATATTGATAGAGTTTTGATTGTTTAAAAAGTGTGTGGCTGTCCAACCAGAGTGCCTTTCGAGCCCTTTAACCCTTCGCCGTTTCAAAATAAGAGAAGTTACGGTAAAATTTATAATAGAGAAAGTTGTAGCTCATTTAATTACCTTTAAAATAGTAAATTACAAGTTCTGATAAAATCAGAATTAAAAGAGTTATAATCTCATTAATGCCGGTAGTACAAATTGTTTTCACTTTTGAACCTAAGATTAAGATTAGCCTATTTCCAAAATATCAAGAAAATTGGAGCATAGTAAAAAAATTTGCAGAGCACACGCTTTTTTTCTCTCTATTTACTGCAATAATTTTGTTTATCGTAGGTTGAATTGATTACATGTGAACAGGATTTGACAAATTAATTCACTTTAAATATGAACTTAAGCAATAATGTATATTGAATTATTCTTGAGAAAAATGTAATTTAGATATTAAAATTACTAAAAGCCAGTTAAAATATGGTACGAAATTATAAAAATTATAGGCAACATTATTAAAGCAATTATTTTGGGTAGAAAATTCCAAGGTAATATTGTAGCTTTATCGCGAATGCTATCTATATATTAATTCTTTCTGAAATTGGTATACCTTTTAAAAGACTTCAATTTCTAATACATATATCTTATGCTATAAATCACAAAAACAGATGATTTTTCGTGTGATAAATTTGGAAAATCAATGTTTTAGTCGTGAATAAACATAAAATCATTCATTCATACATCCACATCTACAGGTATGACTAAAATTATTGGATAAACCTTGGCATTAAAATAAATTGAGCTATTGGAAATAAAGGGTCTGTTCGTGTTTCCATACAGAATTGGCCCCACCCTGGTATTTAAATTATTTTGATGCCATTTTATAGGTATTTTCATTCGGCCGAGATATCAGTGAAAACATGTGAAAGTGGCCCCTTTTTTCAAACTCACTTTTTGTCGGAAATATGAGAGATATCGAAAAACTGTTTACGTCATTCTATTTGTACTGATCTTGTCTATATTATTTATAATGAATAATGTTAAAAAATTGTCATTTACTGGATGAGAAGTTTAAAATAAGTTTTCATTTAAAATTTTCGACCAGTACGGTTAATTTGACTACTTTCTAAATGGCATCATTTTAAAGCCTGTATATTTTACTTTTATTATCCAAAATTATATTTAAATCGAAGTGGAACTTTTTATAAAAAGTTGAAAAAACCGAAGGTAGTACACGCGGAACCCGTAGAATATCCGTGTAAGTAGCGTCTCTCATTGTCAATAGCAAACCAGTGCACATTGCGCTTGGCGCGCATCGAAACATATTGTATATAAAGGTAATACTTATTTAAAAAATAAAATTAGATATATACATTTATGTCTTTTATATTCATATATTTATGCATATAATTATTGTGGTTATATATTTATATACAATGTTTTTTTGTTTTGAAATTATACCTAAAACTTTATTTGCTTTTTATATTTTATATTGTTACTGTATATTATTTTATAACGATAGAAATACATAAATAAATAGTCACTATATTTACCATAGTAATATGGAAGTTAAGTTACGAAGTTATTAAGACACTTTTAATCGTAGTCGCTATCATTGTTAATAGAAACTGTAGTTCTTTCTGTTATAAATATTATGTCTTGTATATTTATATTTTGTGTATACAAAATAATGATGTATTCAACCATTCACTCACAATAAAATCTAAATATACAATTATTCTTTGAATAACAATTGGAATATTGAGATAAAAATACGTTCTTTACTCTGTCATATCTTTATCGATACTGCAATAATACAAAGATAGAAGAATATAATATAAAAAATTCTTAATAATTTGAAATGCTCTAGCTTTGTTACTTAATTTTATTTTAAAAAATGCATCAGTTTGTGTTTAAGCTGCTTCCAGTATAGTTACTTCAAGAATTTATAATAATATATCAGAAAATATAATGTTTCGGTAATTACTATCATAGATTTTAAAGTTATTTTATTTTAGTTGCTTGCTTTTTTGTGTTCTGTGTGAAATCTGTATTTAGATTTTTTCTGATTCAAATCCATTGTTATTTTAGTGAGAGCTTTGATGGTTTAGTGGGTATTTTAGTAATTTCATAATTATAAACTTAATAGAAACAATAATGCCGGAAAATTGCAAAATCTGCAATGAACAAGTGTTTAAAAAGTTTCTATTAACAATGTTAATAACAAGTTAAACAGTTTCTATTAACAATGATAGCGACTACGATTGAAAGTGTCTTAATAACTTCGTAACTTAACTTCCATATTACTATGGTAAATATAGTGACCATTTATTTATGTATTTCTATCGTTATAAAATAATATACAGTAACAATATAAAATATAAAATATAAAAAGCAAATAAAGTTTTAGGTATAATTTCAAAACAAAAAAACATTGTATATAAATATATAACCACAATAATTATATACATAAATATATGAATATAAAAGACATAAATGTATATATCTAATTTTATTTTTTAAATAAGTATTACCTTTATATAGAATATGTTTCGATGCGCGCCAAGCGCAATGTGCACTGGTTTGCTATTGAGAGACGCTACTTACACGGATATTCTACGGGTTCCGCGTGTACTACCTTCGGTTTTTTCAACTTTTTATAAAAAGTTCCACTTCGATTTAAATACAATTTTGGGTAATGAAAGTAAAATATACAGGCTTTAAAATGATGCCATTTAGAAAGTAGTCAAATTAACCGTACTGGTCGAAAATTTTAAATGAAAACTTATTTTCAACTTTTCATCCAGTAAATGACAATTTTTTAACATTATTCTTTATAAATAATATAGACAAGATCAGTACAAATAGAATGACGTAAACAGTTTTTCGATATCTCTCATATTTCCGACAAAAAGTGAGTTTGAAAAAAGGGGCCACTTTCACATGTTTTCACTGATATCTCGGCCAAATGATGAGCTACGGATTTGAAATTTGATATATCGAATTTTCTCGAAAAAACCTATAAAATGGCATCAAAATAATTTAAATACCAAGGTGGGGCCAATTCTGTATGGAAACACGCCCATACCCTTTGCAGTGTATAATTTTTAATATACAATTTTATTGAACATATTTTAATATTTGTTAAAGGGTTGTGGGAATTGAGAATCATCATTTTATTTGAAGCAGTTGTACATTTAACATCTCTCATATATTGGCAAGTAATTCGAAAAACAATAATTATTATTTTTAACTGAACGGTAAATATTAGTATAGGATGATATTGAAAAAACGTAGATGTGGGTACAGGACAACGTCTGTCGGGTCATCTAGTATATATATATATATATATATATATATATATATTAACAAAGTCTAATAATCGGGCATAACATCAATAAAAAACATGAATTTCTTTCAAAAATTTATTTTAAATCCATACGTTTCGGCTATAATCCTAGCCTTCATTCAGTGGAAACTAAAAATATAATTAAAAACTAAAACAATTGAATTGGAGTGAAAAGAAAAAATAAAATAGTAAATAGTACTTACAATTAGTTGATCTTAGTGTTAAATTGGAAAATTTTAATAATCCATGGTATTAGGATATGGTAATGCACTACACTATGTATTATAAACATTAACTTGAAATTACACAATATTTTCACAAAATACTATATAAAAAATCACAAATGGATAGTGTGTTATTCGTAGACTGGTTGAAGATGTAATGGAGAAAGACATTTTTTAAAAAATATTTTTACCAAGATTCTACACATGTGTGGAACGAATTGCGAATCCTTTGCGCAAACGTTTTTATTGTTTTGTAAGAAATTTGGAAATGTTATCTAAATAGAAGAGATTTGTGTCGCACAGCGTGTTAAGTTCATTCCGTTTATTTATTGTCTTATTGTTATAAATAGTTAAAAAAGATCCCTCTATAATTCTTCGTTTAAATAAATTTTGTTCGAATTGTAGTA